GACACCTCAGTCACCTGTCCTGCCTTATTTCCCTGGAGTAGGTCAAGTTTTGCACCTTCTCTAGTTGGTACATCCTCATACTGAATCAGAAAATTTTCTTGTACACTCTTAAAAAATTCCTTTCCATCCAAGTCCTTAACACTACTGTGGTCCCAGTTCATGTTTAGAAAGTTAAAATCCCTACCATAACCACCCCCAGTATTCTTACAAATAACTGATATCTCCTTACAAATTTGTTTCTCAATTTCCTGCTGACTGTTGGGGGCTCTATATTACAATCCCAATAAGGCCATCATCCCTTTCTTATTTCTAAGTTCCACCCAAATAACTTCACTGGACGTATTCCCAGGAATATCCTCCCTAAGTACATCTGTGATGTTATCCCTAATCAAAATGCCACTCCCCCTCCTTTCTTGCCCCCCTTTCTATACTTCCTATAGCATCCATACCCTGGAACATTAAGCTGCCAATCCTGTTCATCCCTGAGCCACATCTCTGTAATTGCTGAATATTCCAGTCCCATGTTCCTAACCATGCCCTGAGTTTACCTGCCTTACCTGTCAGGCCTCTTGCATTGAAATAAATGTAGTTTAATTTATCAGTCCTGCCTCATTCTCCGCTTTGTTCCTCGTTGCATGACTGTTTGACTTGCTCCTTTTCCCAACTGTACCGGTCTCAGACTGATCTCTTTCTTCACTATCCCTCTCCTCAGAATTTCATCCATTTCTCTTCCTCTATCATTAATTCCAATGTGTACAATGACATCCTGCTGGTCCCTCTCCTCTTTGAGAATATTCTGCACCCTCTCCAAGATATCCTTGGAAATTATGCCTCATTTCCATTTTAAATGGACAAACATCTAAATTTAAAGACTTTATTTTTAAACCATGAATCCTAGTTCTCGGGTCTCCCTTAAGAGGAAACATCCTCTCCACATTCACCCTGAAGAGACCTATCTGCTTCTTTTGCTTTTCAGTCAAGTTGTCACTTGCTTTTCTAAGCTCCAGCAGCTACCAACCTAGCCTGTCAAACCTTTCCATATTAGACAATCCACCCATTTCACGTATTAATCTGATAAATCTTCTTTGAACTGTTTCCAATGCACTTACATCCTTCTTTCAATAGGGTGACCAATACTGTGCAAAGTTCTTCAGATCTGGTCTCACCGGTGTTCTGTTTAACTGAAACATAACCTCCTTTTGTATTCAATTCCCTTCACCACAAATTATAACATTTTATTAGCGTTCCTAATAGGTACTGTCTCAATGGGCCAAATGGCCTCTTTCCACACTGTACGGATTCTAATGACAGTACGGTACAGTGACTAGCACTGCTGCCTTACAATGCCAGAGTATTGGGTTCGAATCCATCCTCGGGTGACTGTGTGGAGTTTGCACATTGTCCCCGTGTCTGTGTGAATTTCCTCCCACAATCCAAAGATGTGCAGATTAGGTGGATTAGCCATGCTAAAAAACAAAGTTGCTGCATAGTCTCCAGGGATGTGCAGGTGGATTAGCCATGGGAAATATGGGGATAGGGTGAAGGGATGGGGCTGGTTGGGATGCTCCTTGGAGGTCAGTGCAGACTTGATTGGCCGAATGGCCTCTCTCCACACTTTAGGGATTCTGTGATTCTAACTACTTACTTTACCTGCATAATACCCTTTTGTGATTCATGCAACACGGCATAATTTTCCAAACAGAAGTTTGTGAGTCTTTGCAATTTGTTTCCTGAAAGTGAAATTAAAGAAGAGTCTGTGAATATTTTTAACATGGTAGATTTCTGTATCTCAGAGCATTGCAATCTCTCACCATTTATATAATATGCTTCTTTTTTATTCTTGCTACCAAAATAAACAATTTCATGTTTTCATACGTCATACTCTATTTGTTAAACTTTATTCACTCAATTAATCTATCCATCTTTTTGAACCTCATGAGGTCCTCTTCATTATTTACTTTCCTACCTATCTTTGTGTCTTCCACAAATTTGGAAAACATACTTCCGGACTCTTCATCCAAAATCATTTATAAATTTATGAACAGTTGGGGTCCCAGATCTGATCCCTGTGGCACACCACTCATTAAGCATTACCAAAATAAAAAAGACCCACTTATGCCTATTCTCTGTTTTCTGTTACCCAGCTAATCTCTATTCATGCTAATTTGCTATTCCCAAACATGACATTTTATTTTCTGCAGTAATCCTTGATCTGCCACTTGTAGGTAAAATCCATCCACCAGTTCCCTTTTATCTGCACCACATTTTTTTAAATTCATTCATTGATGGGCTGGGGCATTGCTGGTTAGGCCAGAATTTATTGTCCATTCCTAATAGCCCAGAAGGAAGTTAAGAATGAACCAGATTCCAGTGAATCCAGAGTCAGTGTAGGCCAAACAAGATAAGGATGGTGTGTCCTTCCCTAAAGGACATTACTGAACCAGATGAGTTTTGCCAGAATTGGGATTGAGAAACCTTTAAAAAACCACCAGAGGACAAATAAAAAAGTAATGGCAGGGCAGGGAGGGTAGTTAAAGATGAAATATGAGAGCATGCTAGCTAGTAATACAAAAGAAGATTGCAATTTTTTTTTAACATATATAGAAAATTTAGGAGAGAGGCAAGAGTGGGATCATAGAATCCCTGTAGTGTGGAAGAAGGTCATTCTGTCAAGTGAGTTTACACCGCCCCTCCAAAAAGCATCCCATCCAGACCCAGCCCCCTACTCTATCCCTGTAACCCTGCATTTCCCATGGCTAATCCACCTAGCCTGCACACCCCAACACACTACAGGCAATTTAGCAGTCTACCTAGCAGACTGTGGGAGGAAACGGCAGCACCCAGAGGAAACCCACGTAGACATGTTATAATGTGCAAACTCCACACAGTTGCCTGAGGCTGGAATCAAACCTGGGTCCCTGGTGCAGTTGACAGTGAACTGCTAGAAAGTGAGGCTGGAGAAGTAGTAATGGGGGACAAAGAAATGGCTGATGAACTGAACAAGTATTTTGCAACAGTGTTTGTAGTAGAAGACACCAGCGGCACACCAGAACTTTAAGAGTCAAGAGAGATGAGTATAGTGGCCAGCATTAAGGGAAAGGTGCTGGGGACGCTGAAAGATCTGAAGGTGGATAAATCACCGAGACAAGATGGATTAGGCCCCAGTATTCTGAAGGAGGAGACTGTAGAGGCATTGGTGGTTATGTTTCAGGAATCACTGGAGTCTGGGAATGTCCCAAAGGACTGGAAAAGTGCCAGTGTAACACCTGTGTTTAAGATGGGAAGGAGGCAGAAGATAGCAAATTATAGGCTGTTTAGCCTGAACTTGGTTCATTGATAAGATTTTAGAGTTCATTGTTAAGGATGAGATTGCAGAGTACTTGGAAGTGCATGGTAAAATAGAGGCTTAGTCAGCACGGTTTGGTAATGCAGAGGTCATGCCTGACCCATTTTTTGAAATTCTTTGAGGAGGTAACGAGCAAGTTAGACCAAGGATAGCCAATAGACATGACTTATTTAGATTCCCAGAAGGCTTTTGATAAAGTGCTACACAGGAGGCTGTTAAATAAAGGTAAGAGCCCATGGTGTCAGGACAGGATACTGGCATGGTTAGAGGATTGGTTGATTGACAAAGTGCAGATAGTGGGAATGAAAGGGTCTTTTTCAGGTTGGCAGTCTGACTACTGGAGTTCCACAGGGTTTAGTTTTGGAACCATAACTATTCACGTTATACATTAACAATATGGATGAAGCAACTGAGGGCATTGTTGCTAAGTTTGCTGTTGACACAAAGGTAAGTAGAAAGACAGGTAGTTTTGAGGAGGTGGGAGTCTACATTAAGGACTTGGATGGGCTAGCAGAGCAGGCAAAGAAGTAATAGACAAAATACAATGTGGGAAAGTATGAGGCTATGTACTTTGGTAGGAAAATAGAGCCATGGACTATTTTCTAAATGGGGAATGTCTTCAGAAATCTGAAGCACAAAGTGACTTAAGAGTTCTAGTTCAGGATTATCTTAAGGTTAACATGCAGGTTCAGTGGCAGTTAGGAAAGCAAATGCAACGTTAGCATTAATTTTAAGAGGGCTGGAATACAAGAGCAGGATGTACTGCTGAGGCTGTATAAAGGTGTGCTCAGACTGCGTTTGAAAATATTGTGAGCAGTTTTTGGGTGCCATGTCTAAAGAAGGAATTGCTGGCCACAGAGGGGGCCCAGAGGAGATTTACAAATCTGATCACAAGGGATGATGGGCTTGTCACTTGAGGAGCAGTAGAGGATTCTAGGTCTGTACTTGATGGACTTTAGTAACGTGAGGGGGTATTTCATTGAAACGTGCAGAACACTGAGAGGCCTGGATAGAGTGGACATGAACATGTTTTCACTAGCCAGACAGGCTAGGACCTGAGGGCGCAGCCTCAGTGAGAATGCATGACCCTTTAGAACTGAGATGCGCAATAATTTCTTCAGCCAGAGGGTAATCAATCCATGGAACTCATTTCCACAGAAGGCTATGGAGGCCAAGTCACTGAGTGTATTTCAGACAGTGACAGATAGGTTCTTGATCAAAGGTAGAAGAATGGAGTTGAGAAACATAATTAGCCGTGATCAAATGGCAGAACAGACTTGATGGGCTGAATGGCCTAATTCCGCTATAGTATCTTATGGTCTTAATACCTAGTATCACCAAATCCTCAAACAAGTGTATGGGGTGAAAAAAATACTTTTTTCCCAACAAATAGAGTTTTTGATCTATAATGTTAGATGTTTGTAGGCATAACTACCAAAATGCCCAGTATCATGACTATTGTCAAACTGGCCATGGAATCAGCAGTATCTGGGAATAATTCACTTTGAAGTGTAAACTATGTTTGACAATTTGACAAATTGTCTCCTCTGTCCATAATATGTTTAAAGTTAGATTGCCTTAATGTCCCCATCCAGGATATGTAAACCAGATATTTTTTTCTGGTTTAACATTGAAAACATTTATGTTTAACTAGATGAATTCCCTGAATGGCTTCTTTGAACCACAAAATTTAGATGATGATAACAAATGCTATTGTGACCAATGTGGAGAAAAGACAACAACACAACATGTAAGTACTGACCTAATAAATCTGAATTGAAATATTCATCTATTTATGTCAAACAGTCAATATGGCATTTGCCATTTCTGTATTGAAAAAAGTAATTTTAAAAAAATCATTTTTGGGATGTGAGCATACATCATTTATTTATGGCCATCATTTATTGATGGTCATCATTTATTGCCCATCCCTAACTGCTCAGAGGGCAGCTAAGAGTCAACCATATTGCTCTGGATCTGAAAATACATGTAGACCAGACTGGATAGGGATGGCAGATTTTCTTCCCTAAAAGACATGAGTGAACCAGACAAGTTTTTGTGACAATCCATTGTGATTATATAATCAGCATTAGGCTTGTTTTTTTCATTCACCATTTTTTATTGAAATCCTATTTCACCACCTGCCAAGATGACAATTGAACCCATGTCTCCAGAACGTTAGCCTCGTCCAGTACTATTGCCACTATACCACTACCTTCCCAGTGATGTAGCATACAACTTACAGCTAGACTTGGTGTTTTGTTTGCTTTTTTTTATTTCAGTAATGTTTAGTCTAGTATGAAAATTATCTTAAATGCTTCTTTGCATTATTTGACAATTGTTTTCTCTTCAACAGGGCTACAGAGTGCGTTCTTGGCCACAAATACTATGCCTACAGCTAAAACACTTTGGCTTTGCTGCAAGCTTGAGGAAAGTGGTCAAAAACAATAATTTTATGGAATTTCCAGAAAGCATCAACTCGGAGAATTGCAAAAAAGAATTTCCTAACCTCAAGGTGTGTTTTTATGCATGCAGGCAGTGTGTGAATTTTCCCATTCTCCAGATCACAGTGACTGACCTTCCATTCCTACCTATTCAAATACTGACAAAGGGCTGACTTTTCTCAAGTTGTGAAGCTCTGTAGCTGGGACCACCATCTGGGTCAAACCCAGCACAGGCCATTAGCAGGAGCCTAGGGTGGCATTTTACCAGTTCTGGCCTATTTAAAGGCTGTCACCAGGAATGGCAAGTGAGCAAGAGCAATATCTTACTTGCCAGTGCTGCCAACATAATTAGGGAGCCAGAAACATTGCAGCCTTGACAAATCCACCATTATAGGCCGTCATCATTGCTGCTGCCAAATGAATAATGAAGGACTCACCCTAAAAAACACATTAAGTTTATTTTGAACAGCCAGTCAAGCAGACCCCAGTAATCAGGAGGAAGATCACCTTCAAACTATAGTGATGTAGCCACAGGAGTGGCCATTACCTCTAGAGGGCTCTCTGTTGGATAAGAAGCAACCATAGAAACATAGAAAATAGGAGCAGGAGTAGGCCACAAGGACGTTTGAGCCTACTCATGGCTGATCATCCAACTCAGTACTCTGTTCCTGCTTTCTCCCCATATCCTTTAATGCCTTTAACCCCAATATCTAACTCCTTCTTGAAAACACTCAGCATTTTAGCGTCAACTACTTCCTTAGATAGAGAATTCCACAGGCTCACCACTCTCTGGGTAAAATCAGTTCTCCTCATCTCAGTCCTAAATGGCCTAGCCCATTTCGTAAGACTGTGACCCTGATTCTGCACTCCCTGATCATTGGTAGCATCTTTCTTGTGTTACCCTTTCTAGCCCTGTTAGAATTTGATGGGATTCCATGAGATTCACTTCACTGTTCTAAACTCCAGTGAACATAGTCCTAACTGATCCAATCTCTTTTCATACCTCAGTCCTGCCATCCCAGGAATCAGTCTGGGAAACCTTTGTTACACTCCCTCCATAGCCAAAACATCCTTTCTCAGATAAGGAGACCAAAACTGCACGCAGTACTCCAAGTGTGGTCTCACTAAGGCTACGTATAATTGCAGCAAACATCCCTTCGCTTGTGCTTGAATCTACACGCTATGTGGCCTGACATACCATATGCGTTTTTCATCACCTACTCCACCTGCATGCTTACTTTCAGTGAATGGTGTACAGGATACTAAGGTCGTGTTGCACCTCCCCCTTTCCCATCAATTACGATTCAGGTAATCTGTCTTCCTATTTTTGCTACCAAAGTAGACAAGCTCACATTTATCCACACTATATTTCACTATATAAAAACTGAAAGAACTGCGGGATGCTGTAAATCAGGAACAAAAACAAAGTTGCTGGAAAAGCTCAGCAGGTCTGGCAGCATCTGTGGAGGAAAAAACAGAGTTACCATTTCGGGTCAGTTGACCCTCCCTTAGAACCCTCAGAACCCATTCTGAGGAAGGGTCACTGGATCCGAAATGTTAACTCTGTTTTTTCCTTCACAGATGCTGCTTGTCCTGCTGAGATTTTCCAGCAACTTTGTTTTTGTTCTTATATTTCACTGGACTTCATCTGCTATGCATTCACCCACTCATTCAACTTGTCCAAGTCACACTGAAGCATCTCAGCATCCTCCTCACAGTTCTGCTTTCCACCCAGTTTTGTGCAATCTGCAAATTTGGAGATGTTAAATTTAGTTCCCTCATCTAAATTATTTATATTGTAAATAGTTGGGGTCTAAGTATAATCCCTGCTGTACCCCCACTAGTCACTACCTGCTATTTAAGCCCCATTTATTTCTACTGTTTGTTTCCAGTGTGTCAACCAGTTCTCTATCCATGTCAGTACACTACCCCCAATCCCATGCACTTTAGTTTTACATGCTAATCTTTTATGTGGGACCTTATTAAAACCTTCTGGAAGTCTAAGTAAACTACATCTATTGGTCTTATAAACTCCACATCCTTGAAAAATTCCAGATTTGTCAAGCATGATTTTCCTTTGGTAAATCCATGCTGACTCTGTCTGATTCTGTCACTGTTTTCCATGTGCTCTGCTGGTAATTCTTTTGTAATGGACTCTAGCATTGTATCTACCATCAACGTCAGGCTAACAGTCAATAATTCTGTTTTCTCTATACCTCCTTTTTTTTAAAGTATTAGGGTTACCTTAGCTACCATTCAATATAAAGGAACTGTTCCAGAGTCTATAGAATCTTGAAAGATGATCACCAATGCATCAACTACTTCTGGGGCCATTATCTTTCAGATCCTTCAAGCACACTTGGTTTCTCTGTGCGACCGCATACTACCCTCAAGATGACTGTGGTGGGGAAGAGATTGTTACACAGCTCCAATTCAAAGAAGGCTTGAGGAGTGATACAGTAGTTATTATCAAGGTCCATCCTGAGCAGCTCTGTGACATAGGACTCTGTGCTCATTGGGCTGTTCCCTGTTCCCAAGAAAATCATCGACTGCATCTAGAGAACAATCAACTCAGTGAAAGTCTGCCCAAAAATAATTGGTATTCCAGTGCAAAGAATTGACATCAACAGAATGTCACAGACTGGCACACTCCAAGATCCTGGATTATGTGCTGAGGGACACACTAAAGCTTGGGGCGGCTGCCACCAAGAAGCAGTGGGAAGGCTTTTCTCACCCACTATATTTCTAGGTTATATAAAACCCTGGCCTCATAAATCCACTTCCATTCTGAGTCCCACAAATCTACCATCCTAGTCTTGTTCATCTAAACTAGTGTCCCCTTTCTCCAATGCAATAAATTGAAATTTTTTAGTCATTCATAAATTGCCTGATGCCCTAGTCTCATCATATCTCTACAATCTCTTCCTGCTTTTCTTAATGCTGTTTCTCTGATCTAGCCTTACATATTTTCCCCATGATTGAAGATAAATCCTCAGCCAACTCTTTTGATTGAGTAATTTTGGGAGAGAATTCACTCTTGCCATTTTTGTTCTCCCCAATATTAAAAGGAAACAATTTTTCAACTTTGATTGCTCTTTCTCAACTCCCCTACCCTGAATCAGCATCACTTTTACTTAAGCCTTCTGTAGCTTGGGCCATTTTTTAAATGTTAAATGTGTTATACATCTATTATTATTAAATAATTTGCTTTTCCCATTGCAGAACATCCCACAATACAAACTCATGTCTGTGATTGTTCATAAGGATATTGCATCCCTTGGCCATTATTATGCTTATATAAGGAATGTTCAGGAAATGGAGTGGTACTGTTTCAATGATGAACATGTTACGGGAGTAAGTACTCATATATTTAAGATAAGACCACTTAAACTAAATACCACTCCCATTGTTCAGATCATACAGTTGTTTCTGTTATGGGCTACTTGAGATGGGTTATTTGTAAACTCTGCCTGACTACCTGAAGTACAGTCTGCCAATCTTGCTTATATATTAGGTGGAAGAAAGACATCCCAAGCACAAGTCACACATTATGAGGCAGTTGACTTTTTGATGTTCTATGCAATTTTAGCTAATTAATTTATCTGTGCATCATGATGTAATATACACTGTCAAAATTGCGCTTCCTTGTTCCAAAATATGACTTGGTTTATTCGCGTGATTGATTAAAATGTATTTCCTCTCTTTGCTTGAAATACTTACAATTGAAACCATTTAAAAACTCTGAAAAAATCTTAGGACATAATTAAAATCTCAGATTATACATCAGTTCTGTGAAACGCCCACCCCTCTCCCAAAAATACTGATTTGTGACATTTAAATGAAATCCAAATTTTTAAGTTTTTTTTGTTCAGTTAATAATTACTTTTCTGAAGTTGTTGTCACACACAAATGCATTTTGATCAAAATTGCATTGCGCATGGATTATAGAAGTCAGGATAAACACAAGGTCTCTCAAAAACCTGTGTTATTTAACTAATAATGCTGTTGTACGTGAATTTTCACATTGTATCAGTTCAATTATATAATGAATACTGTTGATCTCTGCTTTGATAGGCAACATGGGAAGATGTTAAAAAGACATTTGGATCCAGCTCCTCACCAGGTCAATTTCAAATGTAAGGTTATTGCAATACATTCCATTAACTTTCCTGAATGTATGAGGTGATTATTGTCAACTTTACTAGTAAAGCTAAAATTCAGGCTTTTTTAAAAGCATTTTTTGCAAACAATGGAATTGGAATGTAGGAAGTAGAAATATTTTTAAGACTGTGCTTTAAAGTCAAATGTATTCACAAGGTGGCTCATTGGTTAGCATCGCTGCCTCACAGCGCTAGGGACTCAGGTTTGATTCCCGCCTCAGATGACTGTCTGTATGGAGTTTGCACATTTTCTCTGTGTCTGCGTGGGTTTCCTCCGAGTGCTCTGGTTTCCTTCCACTGTCCAAAGATGTGCAGGCTAGGTGTTTTGGCCATGCTAAATTGCCCATAGTTTTCAGGGATGTGTAGGTTAGGTGGTTTACAGAGGAAAGGGGTAGAGATGGGTCTGGGCAGGATGCTGTTTGGAGGGTTGGTGTGGACTTGTTGGGCCGAAGGGCCTGTTTCCACACTGTAGGGATTCTGCAAAATTGTTTTCAAACAAAAGCATCAAAACGGAAATGCTCAAAAATGTTTGAATTAGGGTAAATACATACATCATGCAAATATTGCAAATAATAGTGAATACATTGTCGCAACATTTTAGCTTCAAGGATGTATTTCCAAATCTTTACCCACAATATGGTGAGATTGAGGAAGTCACAACAACTAGAAAGTAGTTGAGGTGAATAGTATCAATACATTTAAAGGAAAGCTAGACAAATGTGTGAGGGAGAAGGAAATAGTTGTTAATGATGATAGGTTTCGAAGAGAAAATAAGGACGGAAACTCAAGGGGAGTAGAGAAACATTTGCATGCACTGGTTGAGCTGGGCAGTTTCTATGCCTTGCACTCTAGATCCTTGCGGAAACACCTTTATAAAACATGGGATCCTGCGTACATCCCATCAGAGGTTCACATGCATGTCGAAGATGCTATTTTTGTAGTTTAAGAAATGGGTGCTACAGTGCCAATTCACAAAACTTTTAAACTTATTAGTAACAATTACATAGGACAAGTGGCACAAAATGAAGCCATTCATCTCAACCAGTACATCGTCCTTTCCTGCATAAGAGTTGAAATATACATGGGGTATGCCTGTGCTTTTAATTGATGCTGTCTCTTGTTATGCATCACCTCCTGCAAGCAAGGTGGAACCGTCAGCAAGCATTGTAACTATATTTGACAGGTTGCCTTGGTTAATTTGCTGTCAATGTGTTTAAAGATTTAAACTAGGTGAATGAAGAGGAATTGAGCAATTGCTGAGGATAGTGATGGATTGACCAGACATGCCATTTGACAAAGCACTCATTGACCTTGACCACTTGTGTGAGATCTCGAAATCCCTACCTGCACTTGATAAGGTTCCACATGGTAGGCTCATTCAGAAAGTAAGGTGGCATGGGACTCAGGGAAATTTGGCTGTCTGGATACAAAACTGGCTGTCCAGTAGAAGACAGAGGGTGGTAGTAGATGGAAAGTATTCAGCCTGGAGTTCGGTGACCAGTGGTGTTCCGCAGGGATCTGTTCTGGGACCCCTGCTCTTTGTGATCTTTATAAATGACTTGGATGAGAAAGTGGAAGGGTGGGTTAGTAAGTTTGCCGATGACATGAAGGTTGGTGGAGTTGTGGACAGCGTGGAGGGCTGTTGTAGGTTACAATGGGACATTGACAGGATGCAGAGCTGGGCAAAGAAGTGGCAGCTGGAATTCAACGCAGAAAAGTGTGAAGTGATTTATTTTGGAAGGTCGAATTTGAATGCAGAATACAGGGTTAATGGCAGGATTCTCGGCAGTGTGGAGGAACAGAGGGATCTCTGGGTCCATGTCCATAGATCCCTCAAAGTTGCTACCCAAGTTGATAGGATTGTAAAGAATGTGTGTGGTGTGTTGGCTTTCATTGGCAGGGGAATTGAGTTTAAGAGCCGTGAGGTTATGCTGCAGTTCTATAAAACTCTGGTTCGACCACACTTGAAATATTGTGTTCAGTTCTAGTCACCTCATTACAGGAAAGATGTGGAAGCTTTAGAAAGGGTGCAGAGGAGATTTACCAGGATGCTTCCTGGACTGGAGGGCAGGTCTTATGAGGAAAGGTTGAGGGAGCTAGGGCTTTTCTCACTGGAGCGGAGAAGAATGAGAGGTGACTTGATAGAGGTGTACAAGATAATAAGAGGCATAGATAGAGTGGATAGTCAGAGATTTTTTCCCAGGACGGAAATGACTATTACGAGGGGGCATAATTTTAAGGTGATTGGAGGAAGGTATAGGGGAGATGTCAGAGGTAGGCTCTTTACACAGAGAGTGGTGGGCATGTGGAATGCGCTGCCGACGATGGTAGTGGAGTCAGATACTTTAGAGACTTTTAAGCGACTCTTGGATAGGCACATGGAGGATAATAAAATGTAGGGTATGCAGGGTAGGTTGATCTTGGTAGGATAATAGTCGGCACAACATCGTGGGCCGAAGGGCCTGTACTGTGCTGTAGTGTTCTATGTTCTATGTTCTATATACAGCTCTTGGCATTGGCTTCTGTTGTTCTGTTGACTTCCTTCTACTGAGTGCATATCTGCGGGGCCTTCAGTCACTCTGAGGATACAGGACATCTCTCCCTTATTTTCCACCCCTTTTACCAAGTGTAGCATCATAAAATCTTGGGCATGCTTTCTCTCCATGATCAGCATTGTTGATCACTCCACAAAGTTTTAGTCTATTATATGTATGTAGGTATTTTAAAATTAATCCAAAAAAGTCTGTAATTGTAACTGCTTCTGTAAATATTTAAGAAAGTGTAGCCACTCACATCTACTTTTGAACTTCTTAGAGAAGTAGTTCAGACAAGAGAGCTGCTGCGCTGCTAAGAAGTGCAAGGAAAGAAACACAAAAAAAAGTTTATACTGAATTGACAGATATAGGTGATTTAATGTTTAGAATGCAATTGTCTTGTTGTTAACAGGGGGTTAGATTGGATTTCAATTGTTATCATTTGCTCAGCAATTTAAACCTAATACAAAAGGAAGTTCTAATAGTGAACTAATTTGATGCTTTTTGAAGGTGACAGAAGTAATCCAGAAGTTTAGGATAATTCCCTACAGCTGAAATAATTTACCAATTAACAATATATTGATCTTTTCATTATCTAAGAAATATTACTGAAAATCTCCCTAGTTGATGAAAGTGCTACCAAGGTGCAGAGTGTTGGGGCTCATCTGTGAGTGTCATTACAGGCCAACAAAATTCTAAAGAAGGGGAAGAGAAGGCTCAAATGCAGCAATACATGCAGTGCACCCTTACACAAATGATTTCAATAATAGGCTATATATGAAGTTCAATGTAATACTTCAGGCTAGACATCTGCCAAGTTTGATTTGATTTATTATTGTCATGTGTACCAAGGTACAGTGGAAAATGTTGTCTTACATGCTTTACAGGCAGATCATACTATACAAGTGCACCAGGGTAATAGAACAGAGTGCAGATACATTGTTACGGCTGCTGAAAAGGTGCAGAGAGAGATCAACATTAACATTAAAGAGGTCCATTCGAAAGTCTGATAATAGCGTAGGAAGAAGCCATTCTTGAATCTATTTGTATTTGTATACAAACGTTCATATTTTCTGCCTGACTTAAGAGGGTGGAAGAGAGTACAACTGGGGAGGGAGGGGTCTTTGATTATGTTGGCTGCTTTCCTGATGCAGCGGGAAGTATAGATCAAGTCAATAGATGGAATATTGGTTTGTGTGATGGACTGGGCCTGTTCTTCACTCTCTGTAATTTCTTGCAGTCTTAGGAAGAGCAGTTGCTTTACCACGCTGTGATGCATCCAGATAGGATGCTTTCTGTGGCGCATCTATAAAAATTTGTAGGAGTCTTTATGGACATGCTGAATTTCCTTTACCCCTTAAGAAAGTAGAGGTGTTGCTGTACTTTCTTGACCATAAACGTGACAAGTGAACCGGTACAGATTGTTGGTGATCATTACTCCCAGGAACGTGACACTCCCAGCCATCTCCACCTCAGCTCCATTGATACAGACAGGGTCGTGCCCTCTACTTCACTTCCTGAAGTTAATGACCAGCTCCCTCATTTTGCTGACATCGGTGGAGAGATTGTTGTCTTTACACCATGCTGTTAAGCACTCAATCTCTTTCCTGTATTGTGTCTTGTCATTGTTTGAGATCCGAACTACAACGGTGGTATCATCAGCAAACTTGTAGATGGAGTTGGGGTGGAATTTGGTCACTCAGCCGTGTGTGTGTCTGGAGTATAGTTGGGCTAGATTTTGTCGCCTATCATTGGCCTTGCTATGGATGGCAAAACGAATTTCAATTTGTAATGTTCCAGAACTCCTGGTGCAGTACTAATTATCAGATCAATAGTGCTGCACGGCTTCCCCAGTGTTAATGTCGGCATGGTAGACATCACGTGTGGTGATTTTAGTGCTTAGAAACCAGTCTCCAGCTGTTCTTCGTAACAAATACCCACTTTTCTACTTTTCGTTCATTGCTTTCATCAGCTCGCAGACATAGCATCTCATTGCCAGCTCTGGGCTGCGGTAAAATTGCTAAACTGACCCTCGAGCTTTTCCATACTACTATCAGCAAAATGTCTTGTCTGTACATTGGATCCATAATTAACAGTAGTGCACTGCTTATGGCTGCATGTAAACATATGGAACATGCTATATACTATCATAGTTCAACAATTTTCATTCTGTTTAGGAGTGGAATAGCTTATCTTCTGTTTTACAAAAGGATGGATTGATCGTTTCAGGTTAGTCATCCATAACTTATTGAAATGTTTATAACAAGTTTACAATGTAAATCCTGGTTTCAAAACCATTTTGAAAAGTTACTCACTGAAATTTTTGGTACTTTTTTGCCCGACCTGTGGGTGCAGGCATGGTAATCCAATTGCTATCATCATAGTATAAACAGGCAAAAGTGATCAGTTTCATAGTGTTGCAGAATTGAACATGGAATATCACTTTTGGCACTGGTTTTAACACAACCAACCTGGAGCACAAAACAAGGCAATTTGTAAAATGGGATAACAAGGTGTAGAGCTGGATGAACACAGTAGGCCAAGCAGCATCAGAGGAGCAGGAAAGCTGACGTTTCGGGTCCAGACCTTTCTTCAGAAATGGGGGAGGGGAAGGGGATTCTGAAATAAATAGGGAGAGAGGGGGAGGTGGATAGAAGATGGATAAAGGAGAAGATAGGTGGAGAGGAGACAGACAGGTCAAAGAGGCGGGGTTGAAGCCAGTAAAGGTGAATGTAGTTGGGGAGTTAGGGAGGGGATATGTCGGTCCAGGGAGGACGGACAGGTCAAGGAGGCAGGATGAGGTTAGTGAGTAGGAGATGGGGTTGGGGCTTGAGGTGGGAGGAATGCTTAGGGAAGCGGGGACGAGCTGGGCTGGTTTTGGGATGGGGTCGGGGGAGAGGAGATTTTGAAGCTTGTGAAGTCCACATTGATACCCTTGGGCTGCCGGGTTCCCAAGCAAAATATGAGATGCTGTTCCTGCAGCTTTCGGGTGGCATCATTGTGGCGATGCAGGAGGCCCAGGATGGACATGTCGTCGAAGGAGTGGGAGGGGGAGTTGAAATGGTTCGCGACTGGGAGGTGTAGTTGTTTGTTGCGAGCCGAGCGTAGGTGTTCCGCAAAGCGGTCCCCAAGCCTCCGCTTGGTTTCCCCGATGTAGAGGAGGCCACAGCGAGAACAGCGGATACAGTATACCACATTAGCAGATGTGCATTGTTTTCAAATCTGCCTTATTTCTACGAATAAGTTAAATCGAACCAATTATTATGAGATACTTTCTAAAGAGCATTATAGGTCATTGAATATTAAGTGCCAACTATAAGTGTTTATATCTAAAGTTTGTATCTTTATTACTGTTAATTATTAGTACTTGTTAAATGAGAAAATCCATTGAATGCATTCAGTCAAAGTAATAAAGTTGTATGTAGCCAGGCTTGTAAAACGATCTGGGTTTACATTACACCAATACGTTTTCTGTCTGTGAGCTTGATGCTGGATTTGTGGTCCTTATCAGCAACCACTCTGTTCCTCAGAAGGCCAAAGCCTGTATTGTCACATTGGAGGCATTCTGAATTTCATTATGAATGTCTGCTCTCATTGAGAAGATACTCCCAAGAAACAGGGATTGATCAACATTGTCCGGAGACCTGCCATGATTCGTGACAGGGAATAGTGTTGTGCAGTGGGAGCAGGCTGGTAAAGGACCTTTGTCTTGTGGATGTTGAGCCTAAGGCCCATCTCTTATATACCAACAATCAATGATGTTTCAGAACTCAGCCTCTGTGTGTTCTCATACATGCATAAATAGAAAACAGAAGAAAACTTCCATGGGTGCAAACAAATGCAATTTCTTTATAGGATATCATGTAGCATTTACTTTTATTTCTGCATCCTTACTATCGATTATATTTGCAAATATCAACTAATTGGGACCAATAACTCTCGTTTCCCTTCATTGTAGGAACGCAGACTTTGCTGTCATCCAGCTGGGGATCAACACCCTTCTTCATTCTTCGTTGCATTACTATAACTTTATCATTTTATCTTGGCTTTTCAATAAAATGTATTACCTGCTTGGAGATATTAATATTTTCTAATTAAATCACGAGGACACGGCTGGAAATCAGAAAAATAATCTTCATACTAAATCTGAATGCTAAGTGAATTCAAAACATTTTCCAATTTTGAAACATTGGTTTGTTAAAAATAGTTTTGCATTACCAAAAAGATGGGAAAATGCTACTGAAACCATTAAGAGTAAACTGATTCTCAAATCCTCTTCCAAATATAAATATTGAACTTTGACTCACCCTGAAAAATGTCATACAAATACGAAATTTGCAAGACTTTTACTTACATTTTATAATGAAACTATTCTGTGTTGATTAAAGATTGAGAAACAAACTTATTCCTATCAAAGATATCGAAAATACTTTCAAATATCCATGGCTTGTTAGTTTTCCCCCCTTTTTTAAAAATACCTGAATTAAGTATTAAAATTCTAAACCAGCTTGTAATAAAATGTCTCTAGGAGAGAATCCACCACAGGCTCCAAATGGAATCTGCTGAACCAGAAAAGTCAATTGGCTTCAGTCTTCAGACTTGAGAAGAGTGAGTTCCACTGCTGGCAAGATTCATAGTAAGTCATTCTGGAACGAACTGCTAGAATGGATAGTCATGTTGGACTTGGTTCTGACACCCTGACACATCGGTCAACAATCACTGTTTAATGTAACAGGTAATAAATGGATTTTTGGGTGAAGACTGTCATTTAATAAAAAAATTGAACATGGATTGTCAACACAAAAAGCATTGCTGATTTGTTAGATTATGAGAAGGATTAGCAAAACTGTATGAAAAGTGAATGGATAGATTTTGTATTTTGTGTTGTTATAGGGTGGCTCAGTGGTTAGCATTGCTACCTCACAGCGCCAGGGACCTGGGCTCAATTCCACCCTCTGGCAACTGTCTGTGTCGCACATTCTCTCTTTTTATTGATATGATGGCAACAGCTAGCTCAACCTTACCACCATCCACTGTTGCTAAATTATCAATCTGCTTATTTAACGTCTTGTACTGGATGGGCAGAAATTTCTCTCCTGTTAAATATTGGAAGATTGAAGGCATTGTTTTTGGTCCCTGCTCCAAATTCCATTCCATAACTAATTCTAATTCTGGACCAATTCTATCCCTCTCCCTGAACAGTCTGAATTGAAGTCTGTCTGTTCACATCCTTGATATGCCATTTGACTGTGAGGTGAGTTTCCAACATTATATTCGTGCCATCACTAAGATGGCTTTTTTCAACCTCTGTACTACCACTTGGCCTCGCCTTTGACTCAGTTCACCGGCTGCTGAAGCCTTCATTCATGCCTTTGTCAGCCCTGTTACAACTACTTCTGGTTTGTCTCCCACATTCTATCCTGAGTAAATTTGAGGCTCTGTAACTATATTATCAATACCTTAAAGAGCTGCAAGTCCATTTCCCCTATGCTTGCTGGCCTTCAATGACTCTTGATCAATTGGCATCTTGATTTTAAAATTCTTATCTTTGACTTTGACCTTTCCTAGGTTTATAATTTCCTCCAATCCTGTTCAGATATCTACACTCTGATTCTGTCCGCATATGTGCTCCAACTGAAAATAACTCCATCATTGGTAGCTGTGTCTAGAGTTGTCTAAGCCCCAAACTCTGAACCTCTACTTACACCTTTCTGTCTCAATAACTCCCTTTCCTCCTCCTTAAAGACACTTCTTAATTTTTACTCTCTTTAATCAATTATTTGTTCATCTGACCAAATATCACTTCATGTGGCTCAGTGTCATGGTTTCTTTCATAATGCTCTGGCATCGTGCCTTGGTTTGTTTCATGATGATAAAAGCACTACATAAATATAAATTGCTATTGTAAGATTAAATCTTTCTGAATTTTCTTGATTTGAACCAGATGATGAACTCAAAAACAGAAGTTGCTGGAAAGGCTCAGCAGGTCTGGTAGCATCTGTGAAGAAAAATTGAAATTAATGTTTTGGGTCTGGTGACCCTTCCTCAAAACAGTTTGAGGAAGGATCACCGGTCCTAAAACGTTAGCTCTGATTTTTCTTCACAGATGCTGCCAGACCTGGTGAGTTTTTCCAGCAACTTCTGTTTTTGCTCCAGATTTACAGCATCCGCAGTTGTTTTAGTTTTTATTCAGATGATGGACTCAGTGGGTTGAATGTCTACCTTCTGTACTATAAATAACTCTATTGGGTTAGTTTCCATTTAAGTGAAAGCAAAATACTGAGTGCTGGAAATCCAAACCAAATGCACAGTGCTGGAGAAACACAGCAGTCTGGCAACATCTATGGAGAGAGAAGCAGAGTTAACGCTTTGAGTCTGGTATGACTCTTTTTCAGAACTTCAGTTTCTCTCTCCACAGATGCTGCCAGACCCGCTGACCATCTCCAGCACTTTGTGCTTTAGTTTGAGTTTTTGGGGAATAATATATTTGCCCAAGGCAACAAACTGAAACTTGATCCATTTCTTAACTCTCAACAACTGTATATTTGCTATTGAATGCCAAACTGTCATAATATGTGCCTGTTTGTACTCTGCTGCTGGCACTACCATAAATGTTATCTTGAGTTAATTTAGCAACCTGTCCCAAAAGGGACATGCGTGCAAAAAGACTTTCAGAACATAAATGTTAATTATGGAACAAAGCATGCAGAAGGCTGTAATGGAATTAATGTAATTGATTTTAAAGTTGAAAGAAATACAAAATTTGAATTAAACAGAGTTGGGGGGTGAAAGTGTGATAAATAATCAAGATAAAAATTAACAGTAGCATTGTAAAAATGTTAAACTGAAAATGCCACTGCAGCTCAGGCCATTTTATTACATTCAAATGAAACTTGTAAACGTTACGTATTTTGTTGATTTTACTTCTTTTGCTAATCCTGGTATAATTGTGCACGTTCATACCAATGGATTAAAATGATTTATCGGAATTTGATTTCTGATGGAATGGGTTTACTGGTGATTGGAATATCATTTTGCTGTAGACATAAAATAGTATAATATATTTTCTGGCATTTTCACAGATGACCACTCCTGGTATCTTTTGCTATCTGCCACCTCTACCACTAGTCAAGGATTGTTTGAGATAGTTCATTGCCACCAGTCCTCCTTTGTCTTGGACCTATCTAGTGATTGATGGTAAAGGGTATGCCACTGCAGAGAGCCTACTATTTTCAACTGAGGATGGTGTGTTGCTTGAAGGGGAACTTGCAGATGGCAGTGTTCCTATGTATCTGCTGCCCTTGTCCTTCGAAATGTAGTGGTCATGGGTTTGGAAGATGCTGTTTAAGAAACCTTGGTGAATTTCTGCAGTGCATCTTCTAAATGGTATACACTGGTTTGATTGTTCATTAGGAGGGGATGGGAGGGAATGTTGTGGATATGGTGGCCAGTGAAGCAGACTGCTTTGTCCTGAAACAAAAAACAGAAAATGTTGGAGAAACTCAGCAGGTCTGGCAGCATCTGTGGAGGAGCACTGAGATACTGTTTTCAAGTCCAATGACCCTTCTTCAGAACAGAATGGTTCTGAAAAAGGGTCACTTACCTGAAAACATTAACAGGCTGCCTTCTTGAAGTGTTGCTGCCTCAAGCGGTGGGAGGCAGAAGTGGGCATAATAAAGATGGCAATTTGAAATAATAGACTTTTTCCTATAGCAAAAGCTGTCCATTTGTTTTGGGATTATGTGTTCACTACAGTGCAATAGCACTGTTGCCTTAAGACACCCTAGGATCAGGTCTCATTGCAGATCTTTAGTATAAAAAGCAAAGCTCACCATCCTCACTTGAAAATATATTGTCCTTCCTCCAGTTTTGCTGGATCAAAATCTTGAAACTCTCAGCCCTAACATGACTGTGCACACCTACACCTAATGGACTGTAGTAATTTGAGAAGGCAGCTCACTATCACCTTCTGGAGGGCAATTAGGGATGGACTCTAAAACGAGGCACAGCCAGCAAAACCCACGTCCCATAAATGTCTCAGATGATACATTAATCCACGCTAAATTTGGAACAGCTCAGATAGATATAAATGATACCTTGGCACAATGTTTTAAGCAACATCAAGCCTAGAGTCGACACTTCAAGAAGTACATGCCTTGTTGTAAAGCACCAGGAGTTTTATTTTGAAACGACTTCAGATAGCAAAAAAAAAAAAAAAATTCCCATTTCTGAATTTAAAACCTGGTTGCAGCAAAACATTGCAGAACCAAAACTTTCTTTAGGTAATTCTGCCGGAATCTGAGGTCGGAAAATAATTAGGTACACTATACATATTATAGAACTCAGTCAAGCAACATTGTTAGAAAAGGAGGCCAAGCCCTTGCCATTTTACCCCAAACTTGTGCTACTAAAATCATTCAGAAGTCACACACACAACCCGCGCGCCCAATTTAAACAGCGGAAATGACGTTTCATCCACAGACCCCCATTCATAAATCCAAATCGAAAATGGAGGAAATATCGATCTTTATAACAGTGTAGTGTTTTAATTTTAATATACATCCCTGGGCTGCTACTTGTTGACAATTATAGGTTTAATATAAAGTTATGTTGTGACGCCACAGGGCGGTCCTGGCCGAGCCTATAAGAAGAGGAACAAGGGCTATCGGCGCTCTCTCTGAAAGCGGCACTAGCAGTGAGTGGATGATTTGTATCACCTCTTTGAAGCCGCTCGATTCACGAGCTACCCTCATGACGGTAATTCGTTAATAAATAACTATTGAAGGATATTCTCAGCAAGTGGATCGAGCTCCGTAAATTTTTATTATTGCCGAGTGGCCGTGCACCACGTGTTTTTGGTGAGGGGGGGTGCTGCTAGCTCCACGGTGAAAGGAGCGCTAGTGCTTTTACCGGACTGCGTGTAACGGCCTCGCGCCACTGCCGATGCGGCGCCTGCGCCGTTCCCTCCTTCCCCCGTCTGCCGGTCCAACGCCTGCGCCGTTCCGTCCCTCTGCTTGTGTATCGGTCCTGTGCCGTTCCTTCCCTCCGCGTGTGTGCGTGTCCACCGGCCCTAACTTCTGCCCCGCTTCTCACAGTAGTTGCTGACTTCCGGACGCTAGTTCGCCGGCATTTCTGCCTGAGTCCCGCGTCAAATTCCTTCACATTGTGGAGACCCATTTTGGTCGCACGTGTTCTTATCAGACAATATGGCGGCCCGGGCTGTTTAAGGAGGGTCAGGTATGAGCGGCCTTGGATCCTGGTGTTCACCCACCGCACAACCCGGCAGAAGTACTTCCTCTTTCACTGGGTAACATGAGGACGGCCTGTCCTCCCACACAAGCAACAAACAGGCTTCTCAGTCCCGGTCTGGGCCCAGTATGGCATAGCTTGAGGCTGAGGTCTTAAAATGTGTTTACTCTGATTTGGAGAACTATTCGTGGTCCCTTGAATGAATCACTGTTTTATGAACATAGCGCTGGAGCACCTCAGCAGGTCTGGCAGCATCTGTAGAAAGAAAATCGGTTCATGTTTGGGGTCCAGTGACCCTTTGTCAGAGGTTGGGTCACTGCCTTCTCGCCACAGATGCTACCAGATCTGCTGAGTTTCTCCAGCACGCTACAGATTTCTAGCAGCTGTAGTTCCCCGTTTCTTAACTTTGTTTCTATGTTTTCATGTTGTTTGTAATCATTCTTGATTGGTATTAAAGTGCAGTGGGTATGATGAATCATTTTTGTTTCTATGTCCTTGTGCACGTGATTAAAATTGAAATGCAAAGGATGTTTTGAGCTTGTAAAATGGTGTTTTGTCAATGTAGATGTGCTCCTGCTATTCAACATAAAAACCCTTGTATTTCTGCTGTGTCAATGATGAAACTGAATAGGAAGTGCCGTCAGATTCGAAAACTGATGATCCTGTTCTAATTCTGACTTTTTTTTTAAAATGAAATGTCTCATTTTTTTAGAGTTGAGTAGTGACGTTACTGATTATTATTTTATTTTAACAGTTGGTACCGGTGATGGGATATGTTAACGGGTGAGTTTAGTTAAATATTGTCTTTCAAGTCTACATAAAGTGGATGCAGTGTCCATGATTTCTAATGTTATGACCACCTTTTGAAGTACTGGGTCCTTAAACTGTTGACTTAACAAATAACAGGATTGCTTGCATCAGCATATTCTCATAATGCGTGGCATGTACTTAACAGTGCTCAAAGCTTCAGTGTGGTTAGTTGACTGCCATAAGCAGAACCTGCAACAAATCTGAGAAATTGCACTGTTAAGGTTTTGATTTTATTTAACAACTGTAAATAGTCTGTCCTTTATAAGCACGTTTCTTGTATAGTAATTTGCTAGCAAATTTTATTGTAGAACACAGATGAAGAAACCAGATTCAAAATAGCTGGAATTGTTGTCAGATGGCCTTAATGGTGGAAGTACTGAATTCTAATGTCTTTTCTAATTGGTTTTTTTAGTGCAGTTGTCTGTTTTCATATCCGAGGAATGGGAACTGGATAGATCCACTACAGGCTATTTGCTCTAACAGGTCAGCTTATGTTCTTGCTAAAATTCAACACATTGTACCAACTCAACAAACTTATGGTACAGATTTTGAGCCTAGCTTTGTCACCTTGTAAAACATACAGTTGGTTGTTTAAGAGCTTTCACTCCTTCTGTTAGTATTGTGATGAGTACCTGTACTGAAGTAATCTTGTGTGAAAAATCATTTTCAAAAGACCTGTATGATGAAACCAAACTCAAAAGCTGGAATTACCGTCAGATTGGAAAGTGTTGAGTAATGGTTTTCTGATAATGGTGTAAGATCTTTTCAATGTAAATACATATGTTGGTTTATTTGCTCTTAAAATTTTGCTTTCTTTTTGAAAGCAGCAGAACGTTCACACTGTCTGGTATTTTCCTTTGGACCCAAGAGCCCATTGTTGTAATGGAAGATGGCTAAATTGTGCTGACATAACCTCAATTGTGATTTGGCTGTTGTCAGTGGTGAAGGTAGGACCTTGATTTTCTCTCAATGGATTGTAGTCACATATTTACTGAAGCATTTCTGGGTACTCAGATCTCACCCTCTTGGCACATCTCCTTTATTACAGTCTCTTCATTTGCAGTTATGCCATCTTGGCCTTTAGATGGTTTTTCCCTAAACCCATGCTTAAAATGTTCTGCTTGTATCATAATTTTGCAGGTATACTTATTGTCCCAGTGGGATACAATGCCATAATTGTTTTATTGCATCTCTGCTTTGGAGCATTTAACTATATTAAATGTGCGTTAAATATAATTACAAGATCTGAAGTAAATCTAACTGTTTTAGCAAATTTCATCTGTGGATGATGATAACTACTCAAAGCTGGAATTACCGTCAGAGTGAACAGTGTTGAGTATTGGTTCTCTGATCACAGCATTAGGTTCTTGAGTTAAATATACTAAGAATTGATCACTTTAAACACATCTGTCTTATTTTCATAGATGGTAATGGTGGCTATACTGAACGCTTGGATATACCTGTGGAGGATTAATTGACAGGTGAGTTTTCATGAGAGTAATGTGGCAGTGCAATCACATTTGTGTATCAAAAGTTTGTTCTTGAATGATGATAATACAAATAGGAAGTGCCGTCAGATGCGATAACTGATGATGCTGTATTTCATTTCTGACTTCAGATGGAGACACATGCTATCTGTTTTTAACTTTCTATTATGCATTTTGACAATTTTATTTGTTGTTTCAGTAACTGGCATTGAAGAAATCTTGCAATATTGTTTGCCGAATATTGGGTAGAAACTGGTAAGTGACATCGGCAGTCAATGCATGTTTAATTTTTCAACATTTGGCCATTTTGTTACCGTATTGTAAATGTTAATAAATGTTCCTAGTTATGGCCAATTCAAGATTCTCTGAATTATGGGTTGTAATTGGTGACAGTTAACCTGCTTGAATCCAGCTTTCAGTGCAATTTTATTAAAATTTTGGAGTGACCTTGTTCTGTTGAAAGAAGCGAAAAGAACAAGTGCTATTAATGAAAGTCTCAATTGTCATTTCTTGATGTCCTTGTAAGCATTGAAAGGTATCATTTCCTCAGCTGTTTGCTAATACTTGTTCTCATTTTTTGCAGTGCAAATGAAGAGCTATTGAAAATATACTCTTTGCTCATAAATCTAAACACCTGTTGACCATTTTTCTTGTGGATCCTCTGACACAACTGAACTCCACCATTCTCATCCACTGAGGTTTCTACTATTGTATTGACTATCTGTCTGCATTGTTCATACGTGCAAGTGTTTGAAGAGTTAGCATTGAGTTAATTTGTAATGTTTGTGCCCTTTTGACATGTATTGAAATTGTTTTTCAGTTGTAATTTTTCATTGTAAATAAACCTGTGTAAAGGATTAACAATTTACTGAAGACATGAATAAAGAGCATTTGTGAATTGTTTTAATACCAATGAAGAATTACAAACATTTGAAAGAGCATGTGCTGTTAACACCTTTATTGTATCAGTTCTAATCTGTCATTCTGTTGTTCCTTTGCTGTTCTGCTCATGCCATATCTCATTCCTTTCTTTCCAAGCACATGTTGTAGTCCTACATTCCACTCTGTTCATCTCTTACATGCTGCATTCCACCCTGAACCTTTAACTTGGAAAGCACATGAGCAGGTTATAAAGAGACCAGCTAATTGTAATAAAGGTTATTTGAAAAATACTTTTTTGCAGAAAAAATGGCAGTACAGAAAACTGATGAGAGGAAGAAATGTCATAATTTTAGTGATGAAGACCTTGACACACTCCTCAAAGAGGTGGAGGCAAAGCGACACAGGCTTCTTGGATATGAAAAGCGCAGGGCACCTAGAAAAGTTAGCATCTTGGCATGGAAGGAGGTTGCAGAAACAGTGACTGCTAACAGCACTATTCCACGGACTGCGGAGCAATGTCGCAAGAAACTAAATGACTTAACACGGTCTGCCAGGGTTTGTTGAACTCTTTCATTTAGGATTTAAGGTTATGAAGTGACGGTTTTTTTGGACCGATTGAGACAGATACTTGAAGGGCTTGTAAAGTTCTGTTACTCTTGGAGGTCAGGCTTTTGACAACTTGTAAGAATCCCTTGGAATGGTGAGGTGATAATGCTTGTGAATGTTAACTGTCTCCAAACCATGAAGTGAGTCAAATCCAAGCCAGCAAGGTAGCACAAAGTAATTATTATGCATGTCTGTTTAAACAGATTAAGATGGCTCATAATGCCCGTGAACGTTTACTAACCAGGGATGGTGGTGTGGCGTTTCTCAAGGATCTAAATGAATATGAAGAGAGGGCCAGGCAGCTGGTGGGAATCTGTAGTTCAGTGTCTGGTAGTCAAGGAGACATTGGAATGGGGAGAGGTGAGTGCCAACTGAACGTTTAAACCATGTCTGCATGTGGACTCCTGTGATATGCCATGAACATGCATCAGTGTTTTGTTCTGACAGGTGCACAGCCATCTTTGGATGCATCAGCTGGAGATAGTGAGCCAGCAACAGCAGCCAGTGTTGTTGAAAGGAGGCCTGGAGAGGGAACAGAGCCACGGGTGAAAGTGGAGGAAACCGTAAATGTAATCGAATTAAAGGAAGAAGTTGAGTGGCCTCCAGAGGATCAGGAGGTGGCACACACTGGCTGGGAGGGCAAGCAAAGTGATACTGTTACTCCAGTTCCCACATTGCATCTACAGGATGCTGATGTGTCAGGGCTACAATCCTGGGACAACATTCAGATCACCCCGTCTCTGTCTCCTGGCCCTTCTTGCTCTGAACGAGGCACAGCTGGATGTCCTTCAAGCAGCTATGATGCTGATGCAGTGGGATCAGGAGGAGGATATGTGATAGACCGGTCTGAAATGTCGAGTGGGGAGGGTCCAGCAGCTCCAGCAATTGATCCATTGTCCTCAGTGACACGAGGACCACATCAACCCCCTGTTGACACTTCAGTAGAAGAGGTGGAAGAGCTCTTTGTTACAGGATTGAGAGACATACTGGTTGCTCAACATGACAGGCAGTTAGACTCTCTGGACTTGATCAGACAGGAGATGACAGGTCTTTGTCAAGAGGTGAGGGAGTTGAAGACAGGTCTTTGTCAGGAGGTTAGAGACTTAAAAATGAGCCTTTGTCAGGAGGTGAGGGAGTTGAAGACAAGTCTTTGTCAGCAGCTGTCGCTTTCAATTCAAAAACTTACTGATGCATTGACTGCTACAAAGGAGTTTCAGCATCAAGATGCTGCAAGTGACCTCAATCAGATAACAATACAAAAACCTGAGGTTCGTGCAGATGGTACGGAAGTGACACGAATGAGCCCAGTAGAACCATTCTTGACCGCTGTGAATACTGAAACTGTGCAGTCCCAGGAGTTAGCCGCAACACCTCTGATAGATGCGATTTCAGGGCGGCAGCACTCAGGCAATGGGCTATCTGTTTCTGGACGAGTCATTGGCACCAGAGGGGTCAGGTCACGGGTACGAGGAAGACGCAGGAGGCATTAGGTGCTGGCTGAGTGGACTGCTTTTTTTTTTTTAAAATCCATGTTTGTGATAGTGACCCCCAGCCACAAATGGCAGTGCAAATTTTGTTCTGGGGCAATGTTATTTATTGAGTAATATTTATAATTTACTGTATGTTGAAGTCTATTTTTATGCATTAATGTGAGGTAATTCTAAACTATTGTGTTAACAGGAAGCATTTTAAAGACTAAGCAAAAATCTTGCACTAAGCAGCTGAAGTTGGTGTTGTTCTGTCTTAACTACCTCAAATGTTCTGCAATGAATCTTTGCTGCTGAAATAAAATGTCACTTGTTTTATTTTACATTTCTACTGTGTATTTGTCTGATATCTTGGGGGAGTGGGGATTTTGCCATGCTTCTTGTCACATCAGTCTTGCTCAGTTCCTAAGTTGAAAGGCAGAACTTCATAAGTCACATGCATTTGAGTTACTTTGAAGGATGCTACAATCTTGTTTTGTAAACTGGACAGATTTTTATTTTCTGCTTTTGTTTCTGGGTTGTGGGTGTGTTTGTTAGGCCAGTATTGCTTATTCCTAATTGTGGCTGAGAAGTTGGTGGTGAGCTCTCTTTAACTGTTACAGGTCTTGGGTGTAAGTATGCCTATAGTGTGACGTTAAGGAGAAAACATATACCTGTGTTTTTCCTCCTGGGCTAATGCTGAGGATTATGACTAAGAAGTAAGAACAGGGATAGTCCATTCGACCCCTCAAGTATACACAAAGACTGCCCCCATAGCTCTGTGCCAAGGAGTTCTGAAGGCAATGAATCATATGAAATTCCTCCTGATTTCATTCCTAAATTGGCACCCCTTCATCCTGAGATTAAACTCTGGCCCGAGACTCTCCCATGAGGGGAGGTATCCTCTCCGCATTTAGCCTGTGAATCCCTTAAAAATTTCAGCATGTTTCAATGAGATCACCTCTCCTAAATTCCAAAAAGTAGAGTCCAAGTCTGTTCAATATTCGCTCACGAGACAAACCCTCCTTATCAGGAATCATTCTCAAACCTTATCTGAACTTGCTCCAGTGAAATAATATGTTTCTTCTTGCAGCGCCAGAGTCCCGCGTTCTATTCCATCCTCTGGCAACTGTCTGTGTGGGATTCCTCTGGGTGCTCCAGTGTCCTCCCACAGTCCAAAGATGTGCAGGCTAGGTGGATTGGCCATGCTAAATTGACTGTAGTATTCAGGGATGCCTAGATTGGGTGGGTTAAAGGGGTGATGGATCTGGATGGGATGCTCTGAGGGTCAGTGTGGACTTGGTGGGCCGAAGGGCCTGTTTCCACACTAGGGATTCTATTCTAAGGGGACCAAAGCTTTCAGTACTCCACATGTGGCCTCTCTAGCACTGTTGTAAGATTTTCATACTCCATCCCCTTAAAATAAAGCCAGCATTCCATTTGCCTTCCTGATTACCTGCTGCACCTGTGTGCTAGCTTTGTGTTATCATGCACAAGTACCCTAAATCCCTTTGGTACTGCTTTTGGCAGACTTCTCCACTAAAAGAATGCTGTTCTTTTGTTCTCCCTGTGAATGACTTCACATTTTCTCACATTATACTCCATTATTCACATTGTGCCTACTTAACCTAGCGATATCTCTGTAAACTTTGTATTGCCTTGAAATTAGCCAGATCATCTATTTTTAAGTCTTTTGCAAATTTGGCTGCAACACATTTGCTACCTTCTTCCTAGTCAGTATTATATATTGTAAACCATTACAGTCCCAGCACTGATCCCTGTGGAACCTCACTTGTTACAGGTCAGCAACCTGAAAAAGAACCTCGTGAATTTCCTTTTAAAGTAGAGTCACGGGTAGACAGGATACTGAAGATGGTGTTTGGTACGCTTGGCTTTATTGGTCAGTGCATTGAGTTTAGGAGTTGGGAGGTCATGTTGAGACATTATTAAGACCACTTTTGGAATACCGAGTTCAATTCTAGTTTCCCTGCTAAAGAAGATGTTGTGAAACTTGAAAGGGTTCTGAAAAGATCTGCAACAATGTTGCCAGAGTTGGAGGGTTTGAGCTATAGGGTGAGGCTGAATAGGCAGGGGCTATTTTCCCTTGAGTGTCAGACCTTACAGAAGTTCATGAACTCAAGGGGCATAGATAGGGTAAGTAGCCAAGGTCTTTTCCCCAGGGGTATGGAGTCCAAAACTAGAGGGTTTAAGGTGAGACGGGAAACATAAAAGGGAGTCAAGGGGCAACTTGTTCACCCAGAGGCTGGAGCGTGTATGGAATGAGCTGCCAGTTCAAGTGGTGGAGGCTTGTACAATTAAATAATTTAAAAAGTATCTGGATTGGTACATAAATAGGAACAGTTTAGAGGGATATGGGCCAAATGCTGGCAAATGGGATTAGATTAATTTAGGATATCTGGTCGGCATGGACGAGTTGGACTGAAAGGTCTGTTTCCATGCTGTACAACCCTATGACTCCTCACTTACTGTTTTCTGCCCATTAGCCAGTTCTTTATCAATACCAACATACTACTAAGCTTTTACAGGTCATTTCATATTCCACTGTTTTTGAGATACATATGCCAGGCAAACGGTACCACCACCATTGCTACAGAGTTAGCATTTTCTGTTTGTTTTACTTATATGGACTTATACCACATGCTAGCAACTTAGATATTTTCTAATAACCTGTTTATAAATATTATTGCATACCTTGGGAGAAGGTGGGACTTGAACTTGGGCCTCCTGGTACAGAGGGAAGGGCCTTTACCACAAGAGCCCCATGCCAGCAATTTTTGTTTCTCTTTTATCTCAACGTGTTCTTACACAGAACTGGACTTCTTTTCCATCACCAAATCACCATGACTTGTTTTTTAGCTATTAACTACCACCAGTAAATCACCAGCAATTTAAGGAAGTTCAATAAACTGTTTGTAAGTTTTTGTTAACTTGTTTACATAATCTTTGCTGTTTATCCAGATCTCTCTCCATTGTTAAAGAGCTATTTTTCAATTGCTGTTGGTAGTGACCAGTTCACCTTGTTTCATTCCCTGCCTTTTCTTGTAGCTCCACTCTGCATATTCTTCTTTGGCAGGTAAGTCTAATTCCCTGTTGAATGCCTAGATTGTTACTGCCTCCACCACACACTCAGGCACTGTAATGTAGATCTTTATTGTGGAGCAATACATTAAGTTGAATAGAGGATTAGCTAACATCAAGCAGAGATCAGGAATCAATGGGTCTTTTTCTAGTTGGCGTGCCTGCGGGTTCAGTACTTGGGGGCCCTAAATAATTACAATCTACTTGAATGACTTTGGAGGTAGGATAGACTTACTGGAGCCAAATTTATAGATGACACAAAAACAATTGTAAGGAAGAAGTGAGGAATTTACAAAAGGGTATGGATAGGTTAGTTGAATGGGCCAAAAGTTAGCAGGTGGAGTTAAACGTGGAAGAGTGAGTTTACCCATTTTGGTCAGAATAAAAAGGTAATTTATTATCTAAACGGAGAGAAACTTCAAAACTTTTCAGTGCCGAGGGATCTGGGTGTTCTCTTGCATGAGTCGCAGAAAGCTAGTATTCAAGTATTACAGGTAATAAGGAGGACTAATGGAATGTTGGTATTTATTGCTAAAGGCACAGAATAAAAAAAGTAGGAAAGTTGTAATTGGACAAAACTGGTGAGATTCAACCAAGCACTGCGTATAGTTTTGGCCCCCTTACTTGAGGATGGATGTAATTGTATTGGAGGTATTTCAGAGAAGGTTCATTGGATTAATCTAAAAATAAAAGGCTTGTTTTATGAGCCTATGCTTGCTGGTTTAGAAGGATGTGAGGAGATCTAACTGAGGTATACAAGATGCAAAACAGTATTAATGAAGTAGATGAGTAGATGTTTCCTGTTGTGGGGCAATCTAGAACAAGATGTCAGAGTTTTAGGCAAAGAATGTGGTGTAGCAGAATTAAAAGATGAATTCTCTCAAATGGTCATGAATCAGGGATTCACTATCCTGGAGTGCAGTATACTCCGGGACGTTGAAAAAAAAAAGGAGGAAATAGATTTTGAATTACTATTGGACTAAAGGGTTGTAGGGAGCTGGCAGCAAAGTGGAGTCGAGGACGAGATGAGATCATAATGGTAGAACAGGCTTGAGGGGGCAGAATTGGCTACTCCTGCTACTAGTTCTTATGTTCTTATGTGTGAAAAAGCTTTTCATGCTACCTCTGTTTTTATCAGTTACTTCAAATCAGCTTTTGCATTCTCAAGCCATTGACAGGGAGGAACTGACACTTATCTGCGCTGCCCAGACCCGTATTGATTTTTGAATACTTCCATCAAGTCTCCACGTTTCTTCAAGGATGACACTCCCAACTTCTCCAACTATCTGTATCATTGAAGTTCCTCACCCCTGGAACCATTCTTTTGATTCTCTCCAATATCTTAACATCTTGCCAAAAGTCCCTTATCTAGAATGAATGCGATATTCCATTTGATACAAAATGTATAATTTACAAGTTTAGCATGACCCTCTCGCTCTTGTACTCTCTGGCCCCTATTAATGAAGTCCATGAATTTCTATTCTATTCTATGATACTGGACACCCTATTAATGACTTGACCTGTTCTGTATCCTTTAATGACATGTACATTTACATCCAGATCTCTTCTCCTGCACTTTCTTTTTAAATTTGTACTCCATTTCCCATATTGTGCCAAAATGAATCATGTTTCTCTATGTTGAACTTCATTTGCCACTTATTACCTATTCCACCAACATCTCAATGTTCTTTTCAAATTTAGCATTTTCCTCCTCATTTCACAATGTTTCCCAATTTTGTATCCACAAATTTTGATATTGTGCCTTCTGCACCAACCTAAGTTTAGATATTTTTAATCAATCTGCTCAGATATGTTATAACACACCTCTGGAACAGCTGGATTTGAACATAGGTCTTCTAGAAACACTAGCTCTGCACCACAATATATTTCCAATCAAACTGTTCAGAGATATTATTTCAAACACCTCCGGAAGAGGTGGGACTCGAACCTGGTCCTCCTGGTCCATAGGCGGTGACATTATCACTGCATCACAGGAGCCCTCATCAACCTGTGTTTATTATTTTATTCCTTTTTGTCCACCACCCGTGTGACCGATTATCCAACCTGAGTTTAAGGTAGATTGGAAAATTAAGGCCAGCTGCTCTGCAATAATCACTCATTGTCCTTGGATGCAACACATTTTGTACTGGTCCATTATGAACCTTTAAGCGTAGGCAGCCTATCTAATACCTCATTGATTTTAAGTGTAAAAGCTTGGCTGATTTTAGCCATCTTCAAAGTATTA